GTCTGTACTCACCACTGTACATTTTTCTTTTATGAACAGCAATGCAGGTGGTGACTTAATTAATAGAGCAGCTCTTGACTTCTGGACAAGTGGAAAACACAGGGAAGAGATTCAGCTGAAAGACCTGGAGCCCACGCTATCTGTAGGAGCCTTCAATAACAAGAATAGTAAGTCACTTTCCTGAGAAAATGGGAAATTCCTTTTACTTCCTAACACAGGGTTCATCTCTTGACCCTGCCTTGCTTTTCCCTTTCCCCCCAACTCCTCCAGGTGGACTGTGGCACAGCAGCCTCATCGAGAAGAACCTCATTGACTACTTTGTCCCCTTCCTGCCCCTGGAACAGAAGCATGTGAAGATGTGCATCAGGGCTGAAATGATAGCCCGTGGCTATGCTGTCGATGAGGAGATTGTTCGAGCAGTGGTTGATGAGATGACGTTCTTCCCAAAAGAGCAGAAAATCTACTCTGATAAAGGCTGCAAGACTGTACAGGCCAAGCTGGATATTCACGAAGACACTGCGATGAAGGATACAAAAGCCAAGGGTTAATTGCCATTCAGGTCTTCAAAGCACTTTAAGACCTTTTGGAAATCTGTGTATTTGCACTTAAGCTTTTTTACTGTTGCAGGGAGTGTGGTGAAAATACCGGAGTGAGCTGTGTGGGCTTTTTAACTTTTTTTTTTTTTAACTTAACATCTGAAATGGCTGGTATCCAAATGTTGTCCCCTTTATTTTTCTTTTAACCTATAGAGAACTTCTGAGTGTGTCACATATATAGCACTGGATACAGCCTCTCCTGCTTTATTCTTCCAGGTGCTGGGATTATTAAGTATTTTAATTCCTCTTCCCACAAAAACTAGACTAGAGCAAAGGAGAACAGAGGAATTCTTCCAGGCAGTCATAGTCCCTTCCTTGTACACGGTCTTGTTCGTGGGTGTCCTGGTTTCAGCTGGGATAGAGTTAATTTTCCTCCTAGTAGCTGGTACAGTGCTGTGTTTTGGATTTAGGATGAGAATAATGTTGATAACACACTGATGTTTTAGTTGTTGTTGAGCAGTGCTTACACTAGCCAAGGACTTTCCAGCTTCCCATGCTCTCCCGACTGAGCAGGCTGGAGGTGCACAAGAAGCTGGGAGGTTGCCAGCTGAGGTTAAACCATGAAAATGGGCTAGTGAAACGAAGGGACGTGTGGTGTGTTCAGGACTATGATAGAGTCTACGAGGGTGAATACCCTGATGCGTTGCAGTAAGAAGATGGTATGGTGGAAGGCTTCCTGTCCTTCACAGCAGATTGATGCTGTTGCGGCTTCTACAGACGAGCGCCAGCTATTCAGGGACAGAAGGGGGTGATTATAGTTTATACGTAAACTGTGGCATCATATCACATCTCCTGCTACAGTAATATGGGAAGTCATGATGAGCTCAGGGAAATCTGTTACTAAGTAGTAGAGAAGGGGGGGAGGTGTGGGGAGTAACTGCTTGCCCCTCTGCTTCTTTGGGGAAAAACAAATTGTAAAAGAAATTTTATATTCTTCTAACTAAGGGGGCTAAGTGAATTTGTGTAGTAATTCCAGGTCTTCCTAAGCAGAGTGACCCATCTGAGGGATCTGACTGTTACAACATACTAGGCCAGTCTCCTGTTCTTAATCAGAAAAAAATCTCTCATGAGGATTTGACTCTTACAGCTTGTCAGGTTAATCTGCATGTGGGCTCCTGGGCCTGAAGTCTGCAGGATCTTTAGTAGTCCCTCCCAGCTGCACCCAATAGCCTAGGAGTGGGTAATGCTACTCTCACCTTGCTTGAAAGATAATTTCGTGGCAGAATTTATTTTTAATAGTGTATTTTTATACTGAAGTGTAAGCAACAGCACTACAAAGCTTTTCCTAGAGAGCCACAGGGAAGGGAATATGGGAAATGGGAGCAATCAACAACCGTGTACCTCACTAGATAAGTATAGTAGCTTTTATAGTAGCTTTTAACGTTACAGAATGTCTGTGTGGAAGGGTGAGTGATGAGTTAGGAAGCTGGGAAAGATGATTTAACCTTCACCCACTTGGTAAGGCTGGGGTTTAAAACTCTGTTGCAAGCTTTAACTCCTTCATCATCCATCACTTGTGGCTCAAATACTGTAGTGCAAGACAGAAGTGCCTATCGCTTTGTTGACTATAGTGTGTTTTTTAAACTGGTATGAGGGATTGGGCTATTTTTGTGCTGCAGCATCTACTCCCTCATTTGTACTTAAACTTGCTTTAAGATGTGATGCAAAACTTATAGGTCTCAACACTATTATGTTAATTCAAATTACAACAGAGAGCTTAGCATTTATGTTAAGTTCTAAAATTAAAAATGTCAATTGCCTTTTACAACCTCATGTGGAATTTGTCAAATGTTGGCAAACTGTTCACGCTGATGCAATCTCCAGAGCCAAATGCTAGCTAGCCATTAACCTTGGGACATTGGACTGTTGCTTTTCATGTATGTTTTGCCTATTAACTGACATTCAGAGGTGTAAATGCTGTATCCAGTTTCAGTTACTCCAAATACAAAATACTCGTGCAATTTCAAAAGACTAACTACTACTACTGTACTGCAGTTGGAATATATCTTAAGTCACTCTTCTCCCTTGGTTTAATGATTTTCAGCTATAGGAAAGTACTAGTTTATGCAGTTTTCAACCAGCTGCACTGCAGCTTTCTGTTAAGCTTCCTTTATTCTTAAAGTGTTTATAACAATAGATAAGCAGATTAAGTAGCCTGTTGATATTAAAACATGTTGAGTCATCCAACAGCACAGTAAGGCATTCAGCAGTTAAATACAGATCAGCAGAAACAAACACCTATGAAAAAAGCCTTAAAGCCTCTGCCTGCTCTGCTTCATAGTTATTAACAGGTATCTCCTACCATACTGCCAGGCACTGCAGGACAAATAAGCCTCAGGTGCCTTGTTTTATTCCTCCTCTCTGTGCTGTATCTGGAAAGCTGTCATTCAAGGTGGCTCTTCACCTCTCCTCTAGCTGGCAAAGCCACAATAGGACTACGGGCTTTTATCGTATCTCTGTGGGCCAGAACCTCTGCAGCTTCTCTAGTACTGAAAAAAAGCCAGTGTGTAAAAAAAAAAAAAAACCACCAGCCTAATTCAAGTGAGGTACAGCTGTTGGCAACAGCTCACACCTCACTGAACAGTCAGTTGTTCATGCTGTTGTGAACCATGTGTTGTGCTGTAACGATGCACAAGGAAACTCATTACAGAGCATACATGGGAAGCGTAAGCTGTCTTGTTCATCAGGACTTTGCACCGTGCCTGCGCCGCTCTGCACACACGACAGCTTGGCTGTTTGGCCCAGGGCATCAGGCAGATGAAGCTCTAGGGCCAGGCTGCCTCTTTCTATCAAAAGCAGCACTTAATACATCACTGTATTTTAAGCATAGCCTCTAATTTTATGAGCACAGCATGAGATTTTGGAATGTTCCCTGCAGAAGAAGGTTGAATTAAAGCACCGGTTGCTTGTACTAGAGTTTGGCAAGAACAAAATTCAGTCTCAGCAACTGCTCAGCTACTCTCACCTGGCCAGTGCACTGTTTCTGTAGGGATCAGACCTTTCCCCGTTTGACATTTTCCTTTAAGCTGTCTGATCCAGTTTCAAGTGGCCTATTAAAAAGAATAATGGCCAAAGTTACCCAGTCACAGCAAGAGAGAGAGCGAGGACCTCAGCTTTGAAACCATACAGTCTAAAGGGGAGGAATAACGACAGGATCAGAAGGATCAAATCTGGGAGTGATTTCAGGCACGCATATTTCTTTTACTCAGACGGAGATGCTCCTAGCCAGGTCTGCTGTTTTCAAGAACAGAAGAGAGATTGAACAGAGGCAGTCTCCACCCTTTGAACATCATTTCTACATCCTCCCAAGGAAGCTTCCGTCTACCCTAAGCCATCTAGGACCACAGTATAATGAAATACTTGCTACCAACATATGTCAAATGCCAGTATTGATGCTGCAATGGCACACAAAGCAGAACTAAGAGCGTATTTAATGCTGGAAGAGCCACAGTACTGCTTGGTTGAACTGTTTCTTTTGATGAGAAGGTATCAGACAGTAGTAAGAGTTCATCGTTTTCACGTCTGCTTTTTTCCATTAGCCAGTCATTTGTTATCATCAGGAGGTCAAAGAAACAGGTAAATACCTGAGTTCAAAGCACTCATTTGCTGACAAATACTAGGACTGATAATTTGTATATTACACAACTTCAGAGCAGAACTGGACAGCTGAAGTCTTACTGGCCCTTTTTTTCCCCCCCCTCGCCGAGAAAAAATGAGGACGCTGCCACTGAAAACGTGGGTGGCTTCAATCAGAGCCTGCAGGGTGTTAATCAGCAGTACCACAGTGGGAAGAGGCGACGAGAAGCAGGGGTTTTAACCAGTCTCTAGAAGACAAGTTCATCCTTATGATACTGTTGAGCACATATGCATCTAGAAAGTCTGCCTCTACAAAAACTGTGCAAGTGTAATTAGTGCCGATGGTCTGGAAGTGCAGTTTCCACTCCAAACTTCATTTGTTTCCCTTTCACCAGGTAGCAGAGAGTCACATCTCCTCATATCTATTCCCTTTGAACTCAAGAAGGGAGATACCCGTATTCAAGCACAGCTGAACACTTCAGCCAGAAACATAGTATGCTCTTCCTTAACAAGTAGTAAGTCAAATCACTCAATGCAAAGAACATCAGAAGGTAGCTAAGAAATACATTTCCAATGAGAAAAGTTTATTTTGACTAGAAACTGGAGTGAAAAAAAAAAAGCCTCTGCAGTGCTCACATTCAGAAACAAGTCTGACGCTCTTCGCAGTAACTTCAGTTCACACATTGCACATCGTTTTTTTCAAATGCCTTTGGAAGTGTCTTCATCCCTGCCTCAAAGGCATACAGTATAGCAAGATGAAAAAAGGAAAACCCTGCAAGCTGGCCCCTGAATTCTACGCATAGGTGAAGAGGAGAAACCTCTTTTCCATTTCCTTGGTGTAAAAGTTAACCTGTATATGTTTCCCATTAAGTCACACCCTTTCCATGAAGCTGACTCACCAGTCAGAAAGCACACTTTTCTCCCTCCTAAGATCACTCCTGGGAGAGCACGCTGTGGGCAACTTTATACATAAAAAAATAACCAAAAATAGGAACCAGCTACACTGATGTGGCAGTCAAGGATTTTAACTCACTTCCTTGTAATATTAAGTCCGCCCTCTGAACACTATTCACACCAAAGAGTTTCATATTCTTAGTTTGACACGCAGAAGACCAAATTATACCACTGTTGTGAGAAAGAAAATGGTACTGCATGATGCTGGATAGAAGAGACTGGATTTTTTTTGTTGTTGTTGTTACAGAATCTCCCCTTATCTTTACTGGAGCCAAGCTGTTCAAGGAGAAAAGACACATATCCTACTTTTAATGCAGTTATAGGAATGTTCCCACACAAGCCCAATGAAGGCTTTCACAGACATAGGAACTTTGATTAAAATTCTCAATATTGTCTAGAAATCATCCACATCAAACTAAAATCCAATTAAAATTAGGTCATAGTCTCAGTCCTTCTATACATGCCAACAGTCCACCAAATGGTTCCAACGATTGACACACGATCCGAGAGGAGTCTTCGGCACTGTCAGACACAGACCCCCGCATTCACAACGCAGTTCGTTCTTACCTTGACAACACAAGGCTGAAGTACTTGGGAGCCGTAACTAGTGACAGAATAAAAATGCAGAGGCACTGCCGCTTGTTTACACACCAGTTAAAAAATAATGTTCCTTTCTTTAAAAAGTGCTTAAAAATGAAATGTCCCGGGTTCTCCACTTTGTGATTAAGTTAAATTTGCTTCTTTGCAGGTTGTAGCAATAAAGCATTAGAAGTCATAGTAATAATCCAGCTTTGCATCCACAGTTTTACATCCTTTATCTGAATAAATTCTCTCCTCTCTGGGGAAGTAGGTCATCTCGTCGGCTATTCTGGTTAAAATGTCTTCATCCACAGCATAGCCACGCGATTCAATCTCAACCCTGACACACATTTTCACATGTTTGTATTCCAGAGGCAGGAAGGGAACAAAGTAGTCAATAAGATTTCTATCAATCAAGGTGCTGTGCCAAAATCCACCTACAAAGGGAAAGAGAAGGGGTTTGTTACTACTCCTCTAGTGAAACACTACCATGGGTTGAATGGGAGCAAGAGGCGTATCATAGCCGCCTGCTACATACCAGTAAGAATTCACCAGTGTTTTTAGGGCCCTGTAATGCACAAGTCAGTCCAAATACAAGCTCCTTCTCATGGTACTTTGTGCATAAAGGTTTGGACAGACACATAGATGTGGCCCATTGGAGCTGAATGAATGAATTCTGACTGAAGGCATGTAAGCCTTGCTCCCCAGGTGCTAGTCTCATACCTTCCCCTCTCTCACCTAGAGAAGAACAGATTTTCTATCTCTGATCAGCTCTCTCCCAGACCAGCTTTCTTGCTCCTTTTTTTGGAGCTTTCATCTAACCTTTTTAAAAAGTACAGTAAGTTTGCTTCCACTGCTAATTTTAGAGCATAATTATGTTAAAACCACTTTTCACCAGGAGTCCTGTGCGAGGAAACCTAGGAAGCACTGGACTGCCCACAGCAGGGCTGACATGTCAGCTTGCTGCTCCTAAGCAGCTGCCTGAAGGCTTTTAACAGACTGAGCAAGACAGGCTAAGTGGGTTGGGGGCCAAGGAAGCGGCTTCCCCATAATAAAACATTTTATTGGTTAAAGATTTTTCAGCTACTGCAATATCCAGCCTTACTGTCAGGATTTCTGTTTGCTTTCCCTTTAGCCCACTAGTTTGTCAATAAATGCACAGCGTAGACTTCCCCCAACATATGCAATCCAACAGACAGCAAACATGCTGGTAGCCAAGGTGCACACAGAGCTCCTTAACCTTAATTTCATCTCAAGAGCCGACTGTAGGCCCCAAAACTGCATCGTGGCTCCTTGCTAGCCGAAAACTGGAGGCCACATCAAGTAGAAACCATAGCTGTAAAAATGCAGCTAAATGCAGCCCATCCCTTTTGTGGAACTTTTACCACCTCAAAAGCAATCACAGTTTTACTCACTATTTTTGTTATTGAAGATGGACACAGACAGTGCATTTTGGATATCTGTGAGCTGTATATCTTCCCTTGTCCTCCCGTTTCTCCAGAAATCTAGTGCCACCTCTGTTATCTTCTCAGCTCCCGCATTGCTAAGTAAAGAGAAAACAAAGATTGTAGCTGGAGGTAGTTTTATACGGCATCGAGTGTACAGAACAGCAAACCTGAGAAGCCGCTTCTTACCTGAGGAATATGAAGATGGCTTGTCGGTAAGACACCCCATCCAGAAGCTCATAGTAGTCCAAGAATGGCTTGATGGAGTCAATGAGTCCTGCATGCATTTTATCCATTTCATCAAATATGAACAGTGATCTGGGACAGATGCTCACATTTCCCCGAATCCACGACTGCAACTGGTCCTGAGTGGCATAAAAATAAAAGATGCTGAAAGAGTTTGTGTTGAAAAGACAGAAAATAGCACTTCGGCTTATTGACCTTTGTCCTGAAAGAGTCATTTCAATTGTGCCATTTTAATAGCTTTGGCTTCTTGACTAAAACATGGTTAAAAGCTGCAAACAAAACTTTAACAAAATCTCATGCTGGTTCTGAAAAATTTTAAGACACCAAGAGACAGGATGGGACAAGCAGGAAATCTCCTCATGAGAAAGATATTCCTGTAAACATAGCAAAAATGAAAGTGCACAGTAGTTCAAAGGACGGGTACCACCAAGGAACAGCAACACAAAGCAAAGCCCTGACAAGTAAGATGATTACTTTTGCCAGCACTTTGCTCTAAACATCCTTAGGTGTCAAACCTAGAAACAATATTAAATTTGCTACCTGAACAGCACCAGTGGGAAATTGCACCCGCAGTCACTGGCAGAAGTAGAAAGAGAATTCAATTCTCAGCCCTGTGTTTTAATCATTCAGAAGTTAAATGAAGACAATTACAAGCCCTTCTTAAAACTCAATACTGTTCAGAAGGGCTAACGCTTTATTGTATTTAAAGATTCTCTCACTTAGGCGTTGCATTTTTCTCTCACTTAAGCGTTACATTTAAGATCAATAATGAAGTAACTGGAAAAAAAAGGGTTGATCTGCTGGCAGATGAATGAGAAGTAACTGTTCTGACCATTTTCAATGATTCATAATTTTTTCATATTCACTGTTTACTCAGGCCCTGAACGGCAGAGGCAGCACAGGAAGGTGGCATTGGGTGTACTGTGGATAAGCAGTGATAGTTCCTCCTGCTGCCTTGGGCAGCAAGTTTCCCAAGTGTATTCACCTCGAAACAAAAGCAGAAAAGGCTCAATTTTATTTTAAAACAGCTCAGCTGCAAGAAGGGCAAAAGTAAGCTGTAAAAAGAGGAAACAGATATTTCTTCCATTTAGAACTCAGGTTTGTAGACCATCCCGTTCCCATTTTTAACATATACAAACTGAATATAAACATTCAGTACTACAAAAGACACTGGTACTCACATTCAAACTCTGCTGTTAACAAAGTTAGTTAGAACAAAAAAGCCCAGAAAACACACATCTGAGCTACCGCTCCACATGATATCCACCTGCCTACAGAGCTGTGCTGACACTTAGGAAACTGGCAGAACAATTCCAAATATTTGGAATTTCCGACAACAGACTATTTTGTGATTTTGTTTTACAGCTGGGAAATGGATGCATAGAAAAACTAAATAACCTGCTCAGCGTGCAGTAAAACTGAGAAGTACACCCATGCCTCAGAGTGCAAGCTTCAGCTTGCCATGGTACGTGGCACACTTGGAGGTCACCGGGTGGTTCCCCAGAGTCATGAACTATTAGTTTTTTGCAGTGCCCACCAGCATATCACCTAACCATGGAAACCTGCTGAATCACGCTTATCCTTAAGTCCGTCACATCTCTAAGCAAAGAGTAGAATGAAAATTAACCACATCATTCTTCCTTAAAGAGAGGCTCAAAACACATGCAAAAAACTTTACATTCACAGGAAAACCAGTCCTGATGGATGTTAGGATTTACCCAGTTCTGTACAGAAGATTCCAAAACTGGCACAGGCTACATTTTACTGCATAAAATAACATCTAGGTTTCTAGCACCGATCGTGCCATAACGTTTATAATTCAATAGAGCACTCACTGCAGCAGAGCTGTGCCCCGCCACCATGGGTTCCACAGCACACTCTTACCTTGTAGAGATTGATGCTGTGAGCGTGAGGAAAGTGTAAAGTTGCCACGAACTGATGGACATATTTACTCTGCAGACCTCTCTTATAAATGCTTTCGGCAACTATCTTACTGACAAAGTTTTTGCCTGTTCCAGTCCACCCGTGCAAGGAAAGGGCAAGAGGCTTTTTGGCGTTGGTGTTGTTCAAGAAGCCCTTCACGGCCTTTACAACCACCTTGTTCACCAGGTGCTGCCCAAACAGTTTCCTGTCCAAATTCTCCTGCAGAGCTGGATGGAGAGACCACACTGTCAACAACGAGGAGGGAGACGGGCACGGGGTCCCGCCGGCTTCTGCCTCCTTCGAGGAGGGTCCAGCACCCACCCCAGCGTGAAGGCCGCCAGCCCCAGGCCAGGGGGCAAAGGGCCGGCCGAGCTGGAGCAGCGCCCTGCGGTCCACGGGGAGGCCCCACGGGCCGGCCACATGGACCCTGCCCGGCTCCCGGGGCCTCTGTACCCCCCAACGCCCTCCTGCCACCCCCCGCAGCGTCCCCTCAG